GTACATTTTCGCACTAAGGGTATAGAATAATGATCGTTATAATAGCTTATAGATTCTAATCGTAGTCAGTTGTGTATATTTCAGATCGTAAAGAGACTGCGAAAAAATGCTGATAAACTACGACTCATCCATCTATTTTATCTTTGGAGCACAATTTTGAGCACCTCCATTGAAGTTTGAAGGTCCAAAGTGAAGCCAGCATCGATGTCAATGAAACTGAGCATATTATTTTCACTGTTTAGAGCCTATTTTGGCATAGATCTTCTCAGCACTCAAGGTAGAATAAGGGTCATTATAATATCTATCCATTATCATAGTAGTGGGCTTGGCTTTTTATATAGACGCTAGTGATAGAAAGAGTGCGAAGGAATGCAAACAAAATAAGGACTCAGTCATATCTTCACAAGCACAACTTTTTTTTTCATTGAGGATTGAATAAAGGCTCATAGGAAAGCTATGAATGATGACACAGATGCTGAACAGTTCCTTCTACTGTTTTGAAGCTTTTGGAAATATGTTTCCATCAAGCATCCCATCTACTATAAAGTGAGAAAATGGAAAGAAAACGACTTAACCATCTTCATCACTGGAGTTCATCTCTAACACACCAATAACTAGGTCGAATTCTTGTGAATATATCTGGGTTTTTCTAATGTAGTTCTCCTCAAATCGTTCATTGAAATGATACTACCATTTCATTCATATATAGAGACGAGAAATAATTATATTGAACAATGGCGGAAGGAGAACATTTTCGGAAATGTGTGCGTTAGAAAAACCCAATACAACCTGAATCAATTTCCTTCTTCGGCGCTCATAAAACAGAATTGATGGCACACAATTTCATCGCTACCCCATCAAATCAAACAGGAAACAATAGAGGTGAAAGAAACAAAGATGAAATACGCCATATCGGTTCGTATATATACGGTTGGAAAATGATTCGTACAATACCCGACATTGTGCCGGTAGATGCCGTAAAAGGCTAGGTGTTTTGTTTGTGCCGTCTTTGTGCCGATCAAAAGTTAGTTCATTAGTGGAAATGTATCCAATAATTCATTTGTGAGGCGCCCGAACGAGGTACTAATGGCTTGAAATAAGATATCAACGCACGCAATGATACCGCAGATAGACTATAAATTTGTCTGCGGTAATAAGGAATGTTCTCGCTCTTGTATATTTAATTAAGGCCCATATAAATGAGCATCTACAGTCTGCAGACTCGTGTGCTGGTTCGATTATTTCGTGTATCTATAGGGTTCTTGTCATAAAATCGTGAAACATGCATATCCATTGTTTCGACCCAAGTCAGCCATCAAGGATAATGAGAACACAGCAACAGAACAAAGAAAACTTGGTCTTTTTTCATATGCTAATTTGTCCATATTAGTTTTCACAAATACTATGTTAACACTTGCATGCAATACCATTTTATCATTTTGGGCCAATTGAACTGAAAAATTCTTGGCAAAATTTAAAACATCTTTCAACTTCCACACTGTTGGGAATTAGGTCCAGTGGACCCCTTTCAGGATCCGAATCATCCTGTTGCACCATCTTTTGAGCAGACCATATCGATAGAAAGTGAGAAAACGCTAATGAACAAACAGTGATCGAATACTTGGTGGTATTTCAGAAGGTTCAGACCAACTTCCATATACTCACAAAAGTTTTTATATAATTAACGGAGACCCATAAAGTCGAAACTGTACCTCAAAACCAAAACATTCCTGATGAAAATAGGATTTGAGGAATTGCTAAACATATACGAGTGAAGTTTGCCCAAATATATCAAACGTTTTTTATGAAATTTCTCATATTATAACGAAAAAGTATTATATAGAAGCTAAAATAAAGTCAATATTAGCCTAAAATACAACATTTATTTGTAACACAAATGCAAAAAAACTGCCGATTAATAAAAATCAACATAACCAAATAGCAGCAAATCACCGCTTCGTTACATGGCCTCTTCAACTGGTTACTTCTTCTATACGTGTACGAGTAAACTAATGCCATATGGTGTTAAACTGTTTCAAAATTTCTTGGAGACGTGTTCGCAATTCTTCAAAGGACGATAGATCTGGACTATACTCGACGTCCATCTTAAAACTGGAATATTGTTTTCAAACAGCCAATCTTTCACTTGTTTAACCGTATATGGCAAGCGGCACCATCTTGTTGGAAAATCCAATCAAATTATTTGATCCCATTTGTTCAATTTGGAGCGTTGGACCAACTTCACTGAGAGGGCTCATAATATGTGTGATCCGATTATTTTGCTCTCCTGATCGAAATATCTGAATAAATATTGTAAGGTGTGTTGATCAGTTCAGTTCAGACCCCGTATCATCATCATATCATAAAGCATTACGTCAATCATTCAATTCAGGAATTCCAGTTCAGAAAACCGTAAATATGTCACGAGGAATAATCTCTTCATGAATTTCTGACAAAAAACACCCGGTAAAGTATATATTATGCTGATATAAGACAAACATAAATCGAAGCCACGATCGAATTTTCGCTTGAAGAAAATATCACAGTGTTGGTCACTCGATCTCAACCATCTCTCAAGTCTTGTACCTTAACTTTTTTCATATAAATAACTTCTATCTATACCTACAGTGATGATAGGAATATAGAAGCCCCTCGAGGAATATGTTTGCTGATATTAAACAGCGAACAACGAGGGGCGAGGCTGAGGGTGCCTTCTATCGATTTCCAGCCCTGCATGAGTTCATAACTGTGTCAAAAAGTACATCGACCCTATTTTTTAGTTCGCCTCTTCTTCTCTCTCGTCCTTCACAGCAGGAAGCCTTGATCACCCCGATCAACTCTACATTTTCGAAAACTCATTATCTATGTATATGCGATTATGTAACACACTATCTATTAATACTGTCTGTGAGTTAGTCGAGAAGGTGGAATATTCACAAAACATCACAGATTTCCAGAAGCTCAAATTTAGGGTGTTTGGAAAAAAATCATTTGTGGTTTGTCATGCTTTTAGGGATCGCCCAGTAACACTTCTGATACGTTCAGTTATTCAATGCTCAGTTGTTTCACTATTCCATCTAAAGAATACACCACAAAGTCAAACTGATGTTGTTTCTTGGAGTACCAGCTCATGTTGGTATAGGGTTCGAATGTGGCTCTGAGCGCTATATGGTTATTAGTTCCAAAAGGGTTTGCATGGGAATGTGGGGAAAAACTGAATCCAGTCATCCTTCTGTGATGGAATCCGGATCATTCTAGAGTAGAAAGAAATGTACTCGCTATACAGGAGAGAAGCTTAAACACCCTTCGTGGGTCCAGAACCTTCCTGCGGTATCAGCAGCAGCAGCAGCAGCAGTATATCAGAATAAATCAGAGAAAATAACGCTCAACACATATTATACATCTGGGGAAATATTAAAGGTTTCAGGCAGGCTGGAATAAAACTGGGTACCTATATATATATATAACCATCACAAAAGATCGAACGCAAATGTCAGCCCATAAGCAAAAATAAACTAACGACCGTCCTAACAGGGCACTGCCAGTTGAGAGGAAGCTCGGCTTAGAAAAGGAAGACATATGCTGGTTTCTCTTGGGAAGAGGAGAAAACCTTCATACCCAGTATTCACATATTTACATGTTTCACCGTACAGAACCGAGTGGCAAGAAACCTAGGAGCACACATAATTGAAAAGGAGGAGCTACCCTACCCGTAACCACAGCAAGCAGTACTGAAATTGCTGAGGGAGATACGACTTGAGATATTGTTGTAGCTACGGAGAACAACCTCATCGGGCAGTTATAGCAAAAGAAAAGGACACAATATTTGGGTCGCAGTGTATTCATCCCTTAGGCATACATTCAATACTATCATCACCTTTATAATCTGGTGTAAAGTATACCAATTTGACAACGTATATCTAGTTAATATTCAAATTAGCTCTTAGGATTCTTCGCCTATCTGATGAGACCCGGAATGTCGAAAGCTCACACATTGCACCCTAAAATTTGGGATTTCGCAAATCTCCACGAATTTTGTGGCGCGTTTGACCCTTTCGTTCAAAAGCAAAAGTCTGAGAATCCAAAGAAGTAAAGGTATTCTTTGGTTCGAAAACCTGTTAAGTTTGTGGCTTGTTTCGACTTCGGTCAGGGAAAGGAAAGTACCCTGAGACAAGTTGGAATTTTTCTGTTCCAATTAAATTTAGTTGGTTCAAGAAGAAGTTCTCAAACGCAAAGAACAATGTTTGTTCATTTTGCCAAAGACACAAAAGATGTGCCAGTGTCGGCATCTGCGGAGTTCATCAATTTCGAGTGACTTTTGTCTTTGCTCAAAACTATTCTGTATATCTAGTTATTTTCAGTCCCCGATTCCGACGCGTCATCCGACGGAAACGGTCCAGAGACACAACCAGCATCCGGCAGCCCCAAAAAGCGAATGCAATGCAAAAGCGAAACATTCGGCACAAACAGTCGGCATGGATCCATTCGTACGCATGCCGTCTGCGAGAGAGACAACCCGGTCCCATTGAACAGACGGAGAAAAGGGGGGTTCCCGGGGGACCCCCGGTCGCGGCACGCCAGACGGCACGGGGAATCGTACCCGAGCCAACCTGTGGATTCAGATAAATCTCCAACAATGACTGTTTCCGAGTGTTTCCCCATTTGTATGCCTGGCTCCGCCGGTTGTGAATGAACGCGAAATATACGTTCATGCTGATTGGGATCGTCTGCCTTTCAGCAATTCCTTTCAGTTTTTTTATCCAAAGGGAGTTGAGTCGATTTCTCTTTTAATATATCGCATGAGGTTCTCTTGAATCTCATGAAGATACTTGAATAATTTGATTTGTCATTTGTATAAGACTGTATGACTGACCAAAGAGCCACATCATGTAGGATTTTCATGGAAAATATTTCTGATGGTCGAACTTACGGACTCGTTAATCTATGGTTAAGCTGTGGATTCAGATGAATCTCCAACAATGAATGTTTTCTAGTATTTTCTACTGATTCCCCATTTGTATGCCTGGCTCCGTCGGTTGGGAATGAACGCCGATTGGGATCGTCTGCCTTTGCTTGAGGTCCTCCAGAATCTCATCAAGATATTTGAGTGGTTTGACTTGTATGGTAACACTAAATCTGGACCACAATCCTTCCAAGAATGACCATGACATGTAAAATATAACTGCTGTTCGAACATGAGTTCTATAGCATCGATGTCTAGCAAAAGTTAGCCTGTGGATTCAGATGAATGGCCAACAATGACTGCTTCTGAGTGTTCTCCCTGAACCCATTACAAGGTAATCAAATGACGGTGCCAGAAACTTGATTGTCTGACTCACTAAGACCACAACCATTTTCTGATGGCTGACCAATGCTCCTGGACAAATGTTTAACATCCGAAACAAGCATACTTATCAAAAATTCTTCTCCAGATTCTAGATCTAATCAAAAACGAATCGTGGGTGATAACATAACGATTGATATCGTCTGCAATTCTACCACTCAATCTCCAAGAATCCCATTGGAAGCTATTTGAATGCTGTAAATGACCTGGTTGGGAATACTTACTATAACTGAAAACTCCTGACCAGATTCCTTCTATGATGGCAGACCAATATTTAAGATTCGGTTAAGATGTTCCTGTCCAGACATTGTGGTTCTCAAAATCGACTCATATGCTCATCAAGAATGCTTCTAGAGACTGTGAGGTTGATAAAGCAAGTTCCCTCTTCCGAGGAATTATCTCAGATAATTGGTTGGAGAGATTCTTCTTCTATACGGAGAAAAAGAAGAAAAGGAAAAAACAAACATTTAATTTTCTCAAAAATACATGGAAGATGTTTGTAAGCCAGCTCTTCAATAATTCAATACTCGTTTTCTCAATCTCCATACATTTGTTAAGTAAATTTCTACCGTAGTTCAAATCTGCTTAATAACCCACCATGTTATTATCCTTTCTCTTTCCATGCGTCGTTCGCTGAGCTCTAACATTAAATCAAGTCTTCGAAATACCTCCTAGATACGAAATTGTTACTAGTAATCGATAAAACAAACGCATGCTTGGCATTTACTGGAAAACGGCACAATAAATAAACGAAATCGATGAGATCAATGAGCAACAAACATACATACCCATGTGCAGGCAATTTATTTCAACAGGAAAAAAATCTATAACCGCCCTTACCAGATAGCAGACTTTAATTGGTACGACATGTAGGTAAGTATGCTACGAAGGAAGAGCAATCTTGAACAACAAAGAAGGCCACGTAGGTATCTATATAAATGCAAAAGCTATTTGGCTCTGTAAAAATGTGTAATGGAGTTGCAAACTGTGATTGCCTTGGCAAACTCAGATGAATATTTGATACCTACTCGTTTCTGCGGAATACAGTATTTTTAAAAGTTCCAACCTCCATTTACATGAAACCAAGAATACGCAGTTTAATGGTATACCTATGTTGTGGATTTTTTAATTACCATTCCGGAATATTTCCCCAGACATGAATTTTTGCCGAACTCATTTCAAATAAGAATTAGCGGTGTACGCGTTGAATTCTCTATTACTCCAGTGTACTTTGAGCTTAAACTGTTATTGTTATGGGGTCCGTAAACTTTTAAATTAAGTTTTTTAATAGTCCACAGCAGGAATATACTTCGGTGCGTTTCCATCAAGTTTTACTGATTCACATCAAAGCAAAATACATCAAGGCAGGCATCAGTGTATCTGTATATGTATCGGTCTGGTGGAAATTTAAAAGGTTGAAATCTTGAAGATTTTCATTTTAGAACATTCAAATAGAAAAGAATGTCTCAAATAAAGCTTACGTGGTTCTTACTTTCTTTGTGTAGAATGTAAATTTGTGATAGAAATTTGTAGTTTCTATTCAAGATTACAATTTTGCTCCCCACTCCTTTCCAGGGATTTAAGTGAGAGGAAATCAATGGACTTTTTTTTTCGATTTTTTTGGTCGTATTTTTCATTTTTCGTACACCCTGGTTGTTTTTACTCGTCTCGTCCATCAGGACACATTGAGCAATTGAAATTGTTGATGATTGGTAGGTAAATCGAAATTAATTTCAAGCTGTATGAAATTGAAAGGAATAATTCATCTAAAGAAAATAATGTTTCCCCATATACAACTAAGTTCCAAAATGAATATTCATATCGATAAACCTACTTTTCTCTTTGTAATGAAGATAAATTTCAAGTCGTTTTATACAACAATATATATCATTACAACTCCAGCATTCGTTGGCTTAATTATTACCTTTGAATTTATTCTGTTTGATATGATATAATTTTTCCAAAGAATTGCAAAGCCTCTCGAAGCGTAGCGAGAAAGCATCGGCCGTAGAATTATTCCAAGAACAATAAACTATAGTAAAAACCTGGTCTTCAGTATCATCCCAGGCATTTTCATGAGAGCTTGAGAGCTTCAGAGTTTTATGAACCTATAACTCCGAGCAAAAAACGAATTTTCTTCAACTCATTCTCTTTTATACTTTTTATTATCTGCATATATGGAACATTGTATACACAAAGAACACAGCTATTTATTTTGTCAGAAAATAAATCATCTCTAGATAAATATTGCGCTGACAGTTACACAAAGCTATTAAACATCCTTCTCGGGTAGTCCTATGATATGTTGTTCGGAAATCACGTGTTATTTATTACGAATCTCACGGTAAGGTCAGTATATATTGACAGCCAAGTTGAATGGTTTATTTACACCGAAAGATTTGTAGCATGAACAGAATGGTATCGTTTTTTTTTTTGACGGTGAATAGATTATCCTCAATATACTATGTATTCTGAAAAGGTATATATGTATAGGTACAACTTACTTTGGAAGAGAACTTCAAAAATAATAGTTGGATATTCGGAATGAAAGTATGATTCACCAGTAAGGTGACGAAATTCGATTGGTAAATGAAAACCTGGCGAATGAAATTTCTGCATCTTCATATGGATCTTGTTCATAACTCATTATATACTTGATATAATTCAGTACATATCGAGGTAGATATATATTATGTGAAATTTCATCTTCTTTTTTTCAAGCTTCAATATGAATGTGAAAATCTTCTCTTTCCGTTATGATTATGATGGAAACTCCGAAATATATATGTCCAAGACAGGAATACAGCTATTGGCTACAATATATGAAGGATTTAACGAGGTGCAAGATTACAAAGTTCAATATATTTTGTTGTTATACCTATGCTGTTGATATCAATATGTACTTATTTCGTATTTTCATCGATAGAGACGTATTTAAATTACTTTGTAATCTTACCACCACTCGTAAGCAGAATTAATACCAAGTATCAATCAATCAATCAAAACCTAAATGACCAGCCGAATCGCATGACAACTAATGAATAAGATACCAACTCTAATATATATTCAGAATTGAATTGAGAAAAAAGAAAAGAACAAGAAATCCGAGGCCTGTGTTCCTATTCTACCTCCCCGTAAATAATCATATTATTTTCTGTTCCTATCCACCGGCCCCATTTCACACAACTTATAAGGAATGGTCTCCAACACGACCATCATTCTAACAGTTTACATTTACTTAAAATAGTGAAAATAGCAGGAGTTACAGTTTATTTTATATTTATTTATTGTTTTAATTAACTGAATTTCTTCCTTCACACTTTAATATCGTAGAATACAATATCATCTAAAATCTGAAAATGTATTCCTACTTATCATCGTTTCTCCAAATGAGCAGAATAATGTAAACCCCATACGTATCATAATCATCATCGTATATTCATCATCGTATATTCAGAATAATCACAAAAATTACAATTCCATGAGTATTATCAGTGGTAAAATAAACAATAATCATCCGTATCAGGCCCACACTAAATGATCACGTTCGCACGATGTGATATAAAATCCCATATTATATAGGTACCTGCAGGTGCTAGTCCATTCCCTGTATCTCGTTTTTCTTTATCATTTCCAATCAATAAAGCCGAGCGAAGAGCTAGTTAAGAACTCGCGTTTCACACTAGACCCAATCAAAGAATGAATAATACTGACCGATGATTGCCCCAAGACGCTGACAAAGAACACAATAGTATTGATATTTATATTATTAATCATCGGTAGCAAGAGGACTACGGCTGGTTACAGAGTATCTCGCCGGGATATCTTTGAGATTGTGGTCCACACAAAGGCAGGAGTGTTAATAGGTTCTGTCAGGTCGCAGTTGAACATATCATCCCCTTACAAATGGCATTTCCATTCGGAATAATTTATTGGTTCGGAGGCGCCAGGAGTATTAACGAGAGAGTTAAACGGAATTCATTTCGTCTTTGAATTAACATTGTTGGTTCAGGATGAAATTTAAATTGGTACATATACCTATACATAATATGAATGAAACAAATGAATATTCTTTATATATAAGTATACCTGCGTAAATAAAAGTCGTTATTTGAATTGAAAACATGGGATAACTGGATCATTCAAGAGAAGAATTGAAAAAATATATATTAGATTCAGAAATTTTCGCTTGTTACAATACCTACCTAACAAGTATAATAATAGGTATATAAAGGTAGCTATCATCACATGATCCTTGAACTTTTCGAATGAAGACAATGATATAAAACAATTATAATGATGCTTGAGGCAAGGTTCGATATTATTTCAAATAAAATTCATGATATGAGTATTCAGTTTCAGCAAAATGTGAATGATGTTTTTTTCCAAGATTATAATAATGAAGAAATTGAATGATCCATTCCGTTCAAGATAACAAGAAAATTACAAAATTCTCAATGAAGTTTATATTATTAAAGAAGCCTCGAATGAAGCAATAAAGTCGAAGCAATCATGAATCTAACTCGAATAAAATCTGTAGAAAACTTGAAAGAATTTTGTTGATGAGCACAATCATGATGGAAAGACCATTACAAAATAAATCCACTACATGAGAGGTATTATAGGTAGACAAAACATTGTCATATGAAAACCGTTTTGAAATGATCAACGACATTAGTAGCTTACGCGTATACTCACTTCCAATACAGTACCTATACCTATATACCTACGTATATTTAATAGTTACTGATAATTTGAAAACAAATTCGTCAATTATCACTTTTTCACAATTGAGCAAAATATTCCTTCAAGTCTTTCTCGAATTGTTTGGAATATTGATTCTGCTGGTCCCATCAAAAGGTAATTATTGGAAATTATATCAATAACACCAGATTAATGAGTTGATGATGATGAATATCATTGTGATTTGAATTTTAGATTTGTTTTGCCATTATTTTTGCACGGAAATTGAGCATGAGAAGCTTCAACTCTATTTACGACTATAGCAACATTTCATTTTCTTCATTGATGAAATAGAATAAGTTATCTGATGATATCTAATGAATATAGAGATAGAGAATGACGTTCTATTTAGTTTTTATTGACTTGATGGCGCAACGAACCTCTAACCTAACGAGCAACATTGTTGGTAATACAACTTGAATAACCATCAACTTCAATACCTATTTCATCTATCTTTTGATTTCTATTAATATCTACTGATCCATGAAACTAGATTTCATATAATAAAACTGAAATGATCTTCGACGACGACGAAGTCTTCTTGAACAATTTATGTAGGTAATAGTATAGTTGATTTTCAATGAGTTCAATAACGGTCATAATAAGAAACAACTTGAAAACATATGGGATTTGGAGTCTTTTGTGAATATTTTCGTCATCAAGCATCACTTGTATTGTCCTAACATCAAATTAATTAAATCGTCATAGAATTAATATTTAAGCATCTATTACGATGGCAGTGAAATCTTCAACTGATCATCTTATTCGATCTCCCATCAGTATCAATTATTCCAAACATTCCAATGCCAAATAGTTTTCTCATTCCTGCTGACTCAGTGATGGTCCTAATGGAAATCTGGGTATCCATACAATACATCTCATCCTGAATCAACAGTCCTATATGCAGATTATGAAAGGAAAACAATTCCACTCGAGCTTCCCCTCTTCCAGTTACCCTTATAATTACATCAGAGATATTGCGAGGGTTTGGAGATGTCCCAGTTAGTATTTATAGACTGCATCTATATCAAATGCAATTGTAGAATGCCTTCAAGTGGGGTTTGCATCAGGAATTGCGTTAGGGTAGTCAAACAGGATTGCGAACTCGAATACAAATGTGAATGTCTTAGAAGTACAATTTATCATCGGTATTAAAACAAGTAAAAATAAATCGGAGAAGTTTTCTTCCACTATTATATTCAGGTAAGATTATCACAGATGCTTCTTTCATCACCAAGATTGAACAAATTCTTCGAAGCTTTTTATATTTTATGAGAATTTATTGCACAATAATTATTGCATATTAAAATACATTACTTTCTATGACAATTCATTAATTCGTGGAGAGATATTTCTAAAATTGGTACCGTGATATATTCGTATATAGGTTGGACTAGAGGTGGAAATAATTTGCTTTCAATATTTGGTCCCGTTATCTCTAATTATGCGTGTCGGTACTGACTATTGAAGTAGGTAGTTACTTATACAATATACATACATCATTTTGAATAAGGAATAAACATCATCCGTATTATTGTGTAGATACATATTATAATAATTATCACTCTCTCATTTTGATTCGATTCCGTGATTGAAATTCGAGAAAATCAAACAAATCGATGAGAATGGCTTTACCATTCGGTATGTAACTTCGTAAACATGCTCATATGCAAAACAAGTCGGAATTCATTGCCTAAGAAAGTATTTCCATCAAGATCTTATAACCTCCAAAAGTAAAAAAAATATCCAACACTCCCTATTCCATATCGTGTGCTTCAAGTGATAAAAAAAAGTATATTGATGATTATCGAAATACAAATCCCTTCGATTTTGAAAAAGACAAACTATGTTGTTTGGATTGATTGATGTGATCTTTAGGAAAATAATAAGTATGTTTGATGTTATGGTTATAGGTTATAGCAGTTCACTCATGAGTTTTTTTTTGGCTCTGTGGACATGGTCCCATCAGCCAGCAACTCATGAGTTAAGATTGATTTTAAAAGAGTTTCTTCAAAATGACAATAAAATTCTTCGATATAAATCGAAAGTGGGTGCCTATAGGATTTTGGATGCAGTTTAGTATTGAGTGATATAGTTATATGCCCAAATATCAAAATAGTATATTACATCTATAGCACAGCCTGCTGCTGGTAAGATAGTCTGTTTTATCTATGATTCAAACTACCAATGAGGAAGCGAAATACAAAATCGAAATCACAGCATGTAGGGATCCAGTATTCAATCAACAGCCGAAATACAAACACGAAAACATAATGTTATTGAAATGAGTGGAATAATCGTTGACATAACAATATATATGTGTATATACAATATTTCGAAAACACGTACCTGGCCGTTGTGCAATCCCTAAACAACGTATCAAAGTCCTTGCAAGACAGCAACTTGCATCTGTTGACCCCAGGCTGGATAGCCCCCAGCCCTCTGAGGATCCTGACCTGCTCTACGTTGCACACCAACGGCACGATGTCCAACCGCTTCAGCTTCGTATACACCGTATGCAGCCCGCCCACCAAGTGTTTCAAGAACAGTTCGAAAGCCTGCGGAAGGCACAACATCGTGTCCCCAGCTATGATAAAAGCAGCCACTTTTTGTCCGCGATAATCAACTAACTTGCACTCGTTGGCGGTGGGGTCAGAGGTGGAAATCGGCGGCGGGCTGTTGTAGGATCGCGGCGGGCCGTGATGGGCCATCAGGTCCAGCGGGCTGTGCAATACGCCCAAGGAGTTGAGCAACCCGAGGCCGGGCGGCGGCAGATGCCCCAAGGCCATGCTGCGCGCCAAATTGGGCGGCGGGCTAAGCGGGTGGCCCATAGACATGGGCGGCCCCAGCGGACTAGCTTGCCGTGGGCTGTGCACCTGATGGTGTTGTTGCTGGTGGTGCTGATGGTGGTGGTTGTTGTTGTGATGCGGCGGCGACGGCGACGGTTTCATAGCCACTGCTGGGGAGCCAGAGGAAGCGTGGCTGCTGTGATCACTAGCCGAGTCCAACCCTGAGGTGTCCATCATCGCGACGCGGAACATCGAACACCTCTCTAACACAGAAGAAGAACCACGGAGGAGCCTGAAGCTGATAAGTCCATCCAGCAATCAGTCGAAGAGATGTCGTAACAGTGAGCCTACTCGGTATTGTTTGTCTGTCTGTTTGTCGCGGGCGGGGCACTAGGTACTATGAGCGCGCACCGGCGATGTACACTCTGTGTTCGCACCGACCTGAGGAAGTGCACACACTCACACTCACACTCTCAACCGGTACACTCGGCGAGTACAAACGTAATAAATAAAAACATTGGGAGAAAGAGCTGCAAGTGCCCGGAGGCGGGGCTTGCTTCGTCACGCGCCTGCCCGCGTTGGTTGGCTGGCGCTGTGAGGAGCTCGACGCTGATTGGGTCCCCACCGCTGGACGTCTTTGGTCGCCCACCCACCGCTACCGAAAGAAGTTAGTTTCTTTGTAGCGCCGAGGGCGGATGCAAGAGAACTTGAAATATGAGCTATGACGTATTGATAAAGAATGTCACCGGGCTGTCGCTGCGCAATCAATACGAGGTGTGCGGGCTGCTTTTTTTCTCATTTCGAATCAATGTAGTCTTTCGTTTTTCTCAAATTGCTCCCACTTCTGAGCCAGAGCCGGCTTTCGTCTGTCGAAGGGTTGGACAGGTCAGAGAGACGGTTCAGAAGGGGTGTTGTGATCATGATACTTTTTTGGGTTATTGTTTCCCCACCTTGCTCTTTTTGCCCAAAGTTGATTTTGAATATCTATATACCCATAGGTAAATATACCTACACCGAATATATGTTCTACCCCCGATGTTTACAATGTTCTCCGCTAATGAGAGGGCTTAACATCTTGGTAGGTATATCGATATTGAGAAGGTAGTAAAACTTTCGAAGTTGTGGAGATAATTCCAATAGTTTTCCTCAAAGACTTATCATTGTAATTCAATTATTTTTGTTGATGTATCTATAAATGATACCGCATGCTCCATTCATCAGGGGTATAAGGTATAACTTTATACTTTCTGCAAACTATGCGTCATTATGAGAGCGAAGTGTTGAGAAATTCTCACACCTCCATCTCCTGGTAGAAGTCCGAAATGTAACATCAAAATTGAACATAGGTATATATGATGGTACTTATATCTATATAGGTGATCCAGTAACGTATATATACCAACATCACAATTTAAATATTCAAATTTTGCTAAGGACAAGTTAGTCACAACTGTCACAAGAGCAACACAACCTATACAGTTAGAAAAATAGAAGAATATATACTCATCTTGAATTTCAAATTGTCTATAAGGTATACTTATACATTAGGTATTTACAATGCAATATATCATATTGAAACAATAAATGAGCTCTAGAAGATTTTCTGTAATGCGTGGTCCATATTCGTATAAATCCGAAAAAGTTTTCGCTCCAACTATTTAATATGTGACAGTAGGGAAAATGTGCCTAATGATGCCCCCCTCCCTGCCTACGCAATGGCCCACGACCTGATTTATTTTCGACTATTTTCTTAGTTGTTACATGCAAAAAATAAAGCGCTTCATAAAATGTTGACGTTCGTTCAGAACTACTGAAAAAATATTCGCATGGAATACGAGATACGAGTCAAACTTCAAACTATTCATCAAGGTTATACATCTCAGACTTATTCCTGCATAATTATACGAATCGTGTCAGCTTACTTCCACTTTATATTAGTGATTTTACGAAATAAAATCCAAATTGTTGATGGTGAGTGTTGATCTAAGGAAAATGTTCTCATTTTTCGTACTTCACTCATGTGTATATCAAGGTCATGCACAAGAAGAATTCCACTTCAATATTATCTATAAAGGAAATCAGAAAATATGAGACAAGAAACAAAGGTTGTATTCATTTACCTATTACCTTATTGGTGGACGATGCCAAAAATCTAGTCTCACTAGAAATTCTGTCATGTACGAAAGCAAAATTGTGACAATGGGATATTTTGTCTTATATTGTAATTTCAATTTCCATGTTTTTGCAATTGTGTTATATTAAAATATATTTTGATCTGTTTATGATTTTAACGATAGATGTGAATAATCTGATTTTATTTATAGGATAATCACGTGTTGACGACACTCCAAAATTTTATTTTGGTACTTTTTTTTCACAATTCTCTTTTGTTATTCATATTTATTTACATTTGTCAAATCATATTATATTATTTACTAAAACATGCCTTGTCATTAAGGTTGATATATCTTAGACAATAAAGTATATTTTTGATTTCTGTATAGACAGAATAAATGTTATTTGATACAAAGTATCAATTTATTTATATGATGGACCCCCAATGATTGTGTTTCCGCGTGCATGTCATCACAACGAAATGCGCTGGCGCATACAATAATTATTGGCAAAGCAATTAATTTGTTGTGAATTATTATGTATTCGGGATCATATTTCATTTTGAGTTTTCTATGCATTATTCTCATTCGTATATGCATCTAGAGTTGAGTATTTCATGTGATAAAATTTTTGAATGATAAAAATTAATCTGTTTTCATGTATATGTAAACCGTTGGGGCCATCTTGCAAGGACATAAAATATATAATATATCAGGAGATTTCAGAAAAAAATGCAATGAGTGAGTGAAGAACAACTGGATAAGGAGTCGATAAGTTACTATAATAAATTCAGAATAAGTAAATTATGAGCCATATTTTCTATAGAGGGGTCCATCATATATATTAAGCACATTTTCCCTATTTACCTTTATGTCAATTTGCCGTGTCTATATATTTGTCATTTTCTCACAAATTCAATAGAAGTGACATGTATATATACAAATGATTATACGGATATAGTCTCTGTTGTTAATGAACATAACTATACATATATATCTACACAAAATGTAAGTAGGTACGTTATAGGTACACAATAGCGCAGTCTGTCTGTGCATCATCAGGTATGGTTTATAGTAACAATGACCAGCAGAAACAATAGACTGTCCATATCCATATATCAGATAAAATGGATTATCAATGTGTGATATTTGTATACTGTTGGGAGCAGCATGAATTATCCATGAGCGAGGTGATAGGTGATATGATAAGATAAGAACGATTTCATACCTAATTGCATGTGGAATCTATATAGTCTGTGAAGGCGAAGATAATAATATGAAGTATAAGTATCATTATAGAATTGAAAAGTTTTTCATTCCCTGTATATTATAGTAAATGAATATTAAGTAGCTAGCTAGTTTTCTCTCAAACAGGTCTCTCCATGTAGTGGTCGACGGAGTTTCATCTGACTCTCTTATCATAAATGCTGGTGTTCCGCAAGGATCAATTCTAGCACCAACACTATTTCTAATCCATATCAACGATTTGTTAGAAGCAACTTCATGTCCAGTACACAGCTTCGCGGATGATAGTACCATCCATACCGCATTTTCTTCCAGGGCTTCAATACCAGCTATATAGGCATATCAGAAACGAACGAGGGAGAAATGTTGACAACTTAAATATGGGGATCCAATAACTTGGCATAGATTTCAATGCAAACAAAACACAAGCATGCCTTCTCTCTAATAGAAAAGTGGATCTCACTGTGCCCATCAACATGAGCTTGTCAGGGGTTACCATACCTTTAAAGATCTCCATTTCTATGCTTGGTATTACTATCAGCAATAACCTTTCTTGGGAAAATCACGTGAGATCAATTGCTAAAAGTGCATCCCAAAAACTTGGTTTTCTGTTTTGGGCCAGGAGCTATTTCACTTCCAGTCAGCTGCTTATGACCTATAAGACACCGATCCGACCTGTCCTGGAATACTGTTCCCATATTTGGAGTGCAGCATACCCAAAGATGAAACTGTTGGATTCTGTCCAAAAAAGGGCAATTCGTCTCGTGGGTGATGCCTCGCTCACAAACTCAATCACTTCTCTGGAACACCTTAAAAAAGTTGTCGATCTGGCTCTATTTTATAGATATTTTCATGGACGATGATCTTCTGAAATATCAACAATTGTTCCTCCCTTGGCAGTCCCCGCGAAATTAACCCGTCCAGTTGAGGCTTCGCACCCCTTCGTGGTCACTTTGGAGGGCCGCAGAACATCTCTTTCCAAAGACTCGTTCATCCAACGAACAGCGAGGATCTGGAACACATTGCCAAGGGAGGTGTTCCACGAGGCATATAACGTCCAGAAATTAAGGAAGAACACCAATTCCTATACCTTATTTCCCTTTGGTTCTCACGATGTTCTCTGAACATTACAGGATATCTCCTTTCGTGGGAACCAGAACATAAAAAGTTATCTTAAATTTACTACGATGTTGTGTTGATTGTTTACAACTCTTCGCATTTAGTTTGTCCACGAAGCCTAATTACAAACGATTAGGTTGTTTCAACATATTCATTGAGTATATTTGACTGCGGCAAACGAGTGATTCAATAAGGTGACCTGTTTCACGTTGAAAACGTTGAATTTTCACGTTCATCAGATGACATTCGTGGTTAAAATGTTTTATCAAGCAGTTTTAGGATGTCTTTGAGAAGAGACTTGTATAACTGGATTTTTCTCGTTGTACCTATATGTTTAAAAAAATTCAGACTAGATTCGCTTTTGTGTGGGAAATTATACCCCCGGTATGATTAAATGTAGGATGCAGAGTGCGAATTAATCGAATAATAAGATATTAAAATCGTCGACAAAAAATGTCGACGAACCGAAACGACGAACGAAATTATAAGCAAAACATAAATCATTATTTGACATCGCAAATTCAACCCTACACAGGCATCCCCGCTACATTTAGTCCGGCTTCTTCGGCGGTCAAATATCGTGCAAAACCATAGGAGGAACCGAAAATATTTCTGAGGGTTCAAAGATATTTGATAATCGAAATATAAGAGACAATGGGCTCCCCTGTTTTCCTCCAATAAGAAATTGAATTAAGATAGAATCCTCTAGTATAAAATATGTGTTGAAAATTTGCGAACATTATTTTGAAATTATTGTGAAACGCTGTTTTCTGG